CATATCCCTGTGAACCAGTTTTTTAACCAGGAGCGATTCCCACTCACTTCTGACACGTTATTGACACGAGTTCCTATTTCAATATACGTCTAATTCAAGCTTAGCCGCGTGATAGCTCTTCATTAGCGAAAAGGTCCAAGTGATATTTTGATTGACGTGTTGTTTTGGATCCTGAGGTTTTTTAACACCTTTTCTCTAGCTTAACTGGCGAAGATATTCTAGGAATTTGCCCTTCAATTCCAAATTCTTTGATGTACCGCCAGATGCCGTGCAAAAATTTCACCCCTTGCGGCTCCTCGTGGTCTAAAGCAAGCTTAGATTAATTGTCATGTCCACAAATTTGGAATGCGGAGCAAGAGAAAGACAGAGAAAAAGAGAAAGTAGGCGGCAGGCCAGCGAAGCTCAACGAGTCAACGAGAAAAAGGGCGACAGAGATCTAGAGCGAGAGATGAAAAAAAAGGAGAATTTTTTGTTGGAAGAACAACATGAAAATTTTGTAGCGGCGGTGACGAAAGGAGAAATGCTACTGGCCACCAATGCGAAGTGAAAATAAGCGGCAGCGAAAAAAAAGTGAACGAGAACACGTACTACATTTCCTCCAAAAAACGTGTAACTACGAAGTTTCTAGAAGTTTCACGTTGTAGTCGTGCAAAACAACGGCAAAGAAATGTACAAAAAAAGTGTGCTGCACGTGCAAAGTTGCTTTTTTGCTAATTAGACCTATTATTGTTTTTCACCGTTCTCCGGCATTGCCTTCGCCGCTTAGCATTATACGATTTTATAATTTGTTTCCAAAAAACTATAAATATTATCGAGAGCTCATAATAATAATAATAATAATGATAATAATAATAACAATAATAATAATACACTATCTTTACTTAAAAAGGGATTACACGGAATAGTTACAGAAACTAGTAAACTTGTGCCCCTCTATCTAAATTTAAATAACAAAAAACATAAGATTCTGAATATACAAAGTCTATGTACAAAATAAATAAAAATAAGGAAATATAGAAGTTCTACATCAATATGAATGAGTATAAGAGCTAATGATATGGCTAGTGAAATATATGCAAGAATAGGATTAAACTATGAAGTGGTGTAATTCCTGCCGCTCTTTAAATAAGATATTTCCATAATCATTCTTAAAGGATTCTAGTGATACTGCATGTCTAAGTTCTAGACTTAAGCTGTTCCAGATTTGGCAAGTAGAAACTGCGAACGCCGTACCGCCTGATTAAATTTTGGGCAAATAAAATTAATATTACTAGATCTAGTTACGCGACTATGTTGCTGACTGTTGAGTCTTAAGGAGTCTTCAATATATAAGGGAACTTCACCCTTGATGCGCTTGTATGCCTCGCAACATTAAGCTATTTTCACTTCTACATAAAAACTATTAAAAAGCTTAACACTAGACGCCTGGTTATTAGCGTCGGAAATTATCCTTGCTGCTCTCTTTTGTATCTTAAAAACACGGCTTAAATTCTCCTTATCACAACTAGTCCAGATTGAACTGACATAATGCAATACAGATCTTATCATAGTATTATAATACAATAGCCTTTGTTTCGTGGGCAGGCAAGATCTCATCTTTTTTAATACGCAATCGCTGAGACAGCTTTTTAGAAAGTTTCTCTACATGGGAAGTAAATGAGTTAAGAGTCAACTTCGAGACCTAGCAGCTTAGCACTGGGAACGAGTTCGAGTTCGGTTCCTTTAACAGTTAAAGTCATTTCTTCATTGATCTTTGAGGGGAGACGCTTGCCAGTGATGAGCATAGCCTTGGTTTTACCTTCATTAATTGGCAGTTTGTTCGAAGCTGCCCAATCGACGATTTCGGCAATTGACGAGTTTAGAGTACCCCCTAACCTTCCGATAGAGCTATAGCTCGTGCTGGAAGTCAGCGTTGTATCGTCGGCGTACAAATCAATTCCTGATGAAGTGACGTAAAGCGGTAGGTCATCGATAAAGACGATAAATAACAAGGGGCCATGTATGGATCCCTGGGGAATACCATGACGAACAATAGCGATACTTGACTGTTTATCTCCCAGCTTAACAAGTTGGCGTTTGTCCTTCAAATAAGAGGAAAACCATCGATGGGAATCCCTACCAAGCCCATACGCTTCAAGTTTCTTTAACAACAGGGTATGATGAATCATGTCAAACGCTTTACGATAATCTATCAAAACCATTCCACTGACACGGTCATTGTCAAGGTTGAATAGCAGATCGACAACAGTCTTGATCAAGGCAGTTTCAGTACTGTGCTTCGAGCGAAAGCCCGATTGTCTGATGTAG